AAAGTGGTGCTACAACACTCATGAGTGCTCATAAGTTCTGAGTATTGGATTCAACCCGCGCTCATTTGAATCACTTCATGGATTTTATCACGAGTGATCATGAGACGATAATATCTTATATTCTTCAAACCTAGAGATATGAGTTGTTACTATGAGTTGGTTATACATTGATTGCACGAAAACGCATTTGGTAACTCGATGTTATAAAACGTGCCTTTGTGTATGATTCAACAAGTAGTAGAACAAGCCATATGAGTCGAAGTTTATCCATTCCTTTTACCTTCGGGATAAAAGCGATATCTGTGGGCCCCTCGATGATTTAGCGATGATACATGTGAGTGCTTGGCCAAGCCAGGACTGATTTGATTTGTTCAATCAGTCAGTCATCATAAATCGAAAATCGGGAAACAACAAATGGACAGAGAGAATGATTATAATCCATGTCTCAGTCCATATGATATCTAGAATGGAGGAATATATGATCCCTTATCTAATGGACAAGTCATTGACAAGGTCAGAGTTCGACAGCGGCTTTAAGAGCTACGATTTCCAGTTAGGTTTTGAAGTCATACTCAATAATAGTTTTAGACTTATCCAAGTGGGAGACTGTTGGATTAATGTCTAAGTCCATAACTATATTTGGTATGTACTTGACCCGACCCGACATGGTCCATTTGGGTTGCACTTCACCGGCACAATTTATATGGATAGTCTTTTGAGAATAGTATATTTATGATTTATATTAATATATTATAAGTTCTAATATATTAATATGGAATCATATTATTTAATTAGTATTGATCAAGAATTAATTTAGAATTAATTAAGTGATCAAAAAGAACTAATTAAATATGGACTCTTATATATATGGAATGGGCCAAGTTCATTTAGGTTGGGCTAAGCTTTCATGGATGGTCCATGGAGCTTTTAACCCATGGATCCTATGTAAATGAAAGGTCATGGGTATTAGGGTTTACATGGATGTAACCCTAATCCTCCATAATATATAAAGGGGTCCTTGGCTCACAAAATTGTAACAAGTGTGTGAAAATAAGAGTGGGCCGATTTTAGTGTGCATACATATTCTCTCAAGTTCTTCCAAGGTGTTTTGGTGATTTGTGATTCCATTTGAGGCTTCCACACTATTGGGGCTAAGCTCTTAAAGCTTGAAGACATCAAGCTACATCAAAAGGTATGTCATCTAACTAGAACTTTGTAGTATAGGTGCTTCATAATATGCTAGTTAGGATGAAACCTTGGAATAGTTAATATTTGCATGTATAATAGAGAAAACATAGATCCAAGGTTTATAGGGTTGCATGTACACCATAGGAGTGTTAGAATGCTCAAAACCCAACAGAATAATCATATGGACTAGAATATGTTAATGGGCTTAGGGTAAGGCCCATATGAGGGTGTGGGCCCAATTTGGAAAATTGGGCCAAAGTTTGGGCCTTAATGGTTATATGATATTGGGCCATTAGAAATGCCAAATGTTTGGACTGGACTAAGTAGTTGGGCCTTTAATTATGACCATGTAAAGGTTTGGGCCCAATTTGGAAAATTGGTCCATATGTTGGGCTTTGACTCATAGTTGACTGTTGGGCCTTTGGATTAGGCCTTGGGATTAGATCAAGCTAAGATTAGGGTAAAGCAGTCTTTTACCCCAAGCATGGACTTATGGTTATGTATTGGAACCCAATTATTAATTAGGTGTTATTTGATGTTGGCAGTTCGGGAACCTGTCATCCAGCAGCTGGGATTATGTCTACGGGACTTCAGCAGTGTGAGGTGAGTTACCTTCCAGTAGAAGTGGGTCTAAGGCCACAATGTCGGCCCACTAGTAAGAGTTATAGTATAGATAATTGTCTTTGTGATAATTATCTGGTATGTTGCTATCTGTTATGATTATGTGCTAGTATGCTATGATGTTATGTGTTATGTGATAGGAGGGGGTAGGTTAGACCCCAGTACCGGTCGAAAGGACCGAAGGGGGTAGTTAGTACCCAGTTATGTTAGACAGTTTATGATATATGTGTTATGTTATTATGTGGTAGTGGTAGGGGTGAAATAGTCCCCAGTTACCGGTTGAAAGATACTGAATGGGAGGCCATCACCCAAATATGCTAGGCAGTTACTGGTTGAAAGATACTGAAGGGGAGGCCAACACCCATATATGCTAGGCAGTTACCAGTTGAAAGATACCGAAGGGGAGGCCATCACCCAGATATGCTAGGCAGTTACCGGTTGAAAGATACCGAAGGGGAGGCCAGCACCCAGATATGCTAGGCATTATGTGTTTATATGGTATGTGGTATGATGGGGGAACTCACTAAGCTTTGTGCTTACGATTTTCAGTTTTGGTTTCAGGTATTTCGTTTTCAAAGGAAAGGAGCCGGCTCGATCGCAGCGCATCACACTATATTTCCGCACATGAGATCTTGGGGATTACACTCTGATATTGTTTTATGACAACATGTTTTGATTATTTCTACTTTGGTTTTTGACATGAGATGTTTTTATGGATGTTTTATTACTTATGATTTTATAATAACTTATTTAAAAATGAAAATTTCAGCCTTGAATTTTGGGATGTTACAGTAAACATGCCATGATTTCTCGGTCAAGTTTAGGTTTGCAGATTGTAGTCACATTCGCTTCTTATGTTATGTCATGCTACAATGAAAGGAATTCTAATTAGGCCTTTGTTGTATGTTCCATACTAAAATAACTATGTTCCGGACAACATTCCGGACGATATGGGCTTTCTTCCGGACATACAACATTCTGGAACACCATTTTATAACAATTCTAAGCATTCCAGAGACGCTCTTTAATTCGTATTCCGGAGTTGTATCGGGTAGATTCAAAATTAGGTTTTTTTAGTTGTTTATATATATATATATATATATATATATATATATATATATATATATATATATACCCCCATATAATCATACAAAAGGCTAACAACAACTAAAGTTCAAAGGAAAACGATTTAGAGCTATGGAATCACATCAATTCATACAAACAAAATGAAAATATATTATTTTTAACATATATTCACAAATAAAACGATATAATCATAAAAAGAATCTACACATACACACAAAAAGTGAATATCTTTACTGCTAAATGAAGACATTCTATGGATTTGATGTACTCTGGTACAGTGAGTTTGAAATGAAGTTCGAAACGGTAATTTCGAACACGGGGTATGACATGCTATATATAGGGGGAAGGGGGCACATTACCGAGTCAGATCATTTTACTCGTTTACCCATTTCGGAATTCGAGTCCGGAATAGACATTCCGGACCGAATGGTCATTTTTCAAAATAAAAATATAAGTGGTTATTTTTTCAAAAAAAACCACCAAAAACAGTTAGATTACTTAATTTCCGATAAAAAACAAAACGTTTTACCTTGAATTTCATACTTAACAACCATCTTTCTTAAGTCGAATACGATCTTCAACAACTCATACGTGAACTTCCATCTTGTTGTACAATCACCACACAAGAATTTCTTCATTTCTAAGTTGCACTCTTTCATACACTGTTTAAACTTTGTAATCATACCGGTTGAGTGTCTAATGTATCTTACGACTTTTTGAATACATTTAACATTGTATTTGTGTTTTTTAGCCCATCTTTGACAATTAGCTTAACAATATGGGCCATACACCTAATATGAAAATGTTTTCTACCCTCAAGTTGGACAATTTTTTTATATATAGTTTCTATCATCTTATCATTTGAAATGACATTGTTGATTGTCATGCTCACGTTCTTATCATCTGCCCATGTGTACAATCCAATAACAAACGGCCCATGTCTTCACAGCTGTGACTATATATAGGTCTAAAGTTTAGAATTCTTTTATACATTACCCAATTATCATCTATAAAATGACCCGTTACAACCATACAATTCACTTTTTGATAAGGGGAAGTCCAAGTATATCTAATCAAGTGTATTGTGTTACTTTGGTTTCTAAAGTAAGTAAATAACATTTTCTTTTATCAACATAATACTTAGAAACATTATGACTAATTTTATGCCTAGATGATAAAGTAACTTTTCTGTTAAGAGCGTTTGTGTATTCAATAAAGTATAAGTATATATTATGCTAAATATGAATATTGAAGAACACTCAATTGCTTAGATGTCCTTATGTTGCTCAAACCATTGGCAAAGAAATCCATTCTCATTTTTTTTTTTTTTTTGTAAGTTTGCGAAAGAGTGACACAAACAACAAAATCCATTCATAGAGTAAACTCGTAAAATTAGAGTAATGGTACAAAGTTTATTATATAAAATATGTAGTTACTTTATAATATTATTAATATATGTAAAAAGTATAATCATTAGCGATAGACATAGATCCCCTTCCTATCTTGGTTAGTTTTATCACTTTATGGCTAGCCCATGAAATAAATTGCCTTCATTTTTGCCATGTTGGCATGTTGGCATGTTGGTAAGATAGAAAAGTAGGCAAGTAGCGTCAATGCAACTTGAAACCCCACACAGAAAAAAAGGACTAAATCAATACTGAAGGTGGGACAAATCGTTACAACAAAAATGGGACCATTTATGTTAGGACATTAATAACCCAATTATTTCATATGGTGTTTTACACGTAATATGGTTCATTTATATCCAAACACACATACATACTTGTAACCAAAATCCTATCTATACGTCCAAAAACACGATACTAAAATCAATGATAAAACAGTCGAAAATAATACTTGTTAAATATCGGTCTACGAGACTACGAGTATTCTCTAGAATGGGCAACCAATATAAAGGGCGTAAAGTGTAAATATTAAAACCTCATGTAGTTAGACTGTAAGAATCAAAACCAAGAATATTCCACATTTCCAACCCATAATACCAGAAAACCCCATCCTAGACCGATTGAAATCCAATCCATTGGACAACGTATTTCTGTAATTTTCGTAGAAATGAAGGGCCATTAATCTTGGACTAATCTTCAATGGATGGCAATTGGCAATGGCTATTAATAGAATTAGAAGTTGGTCAATACATGGCATATCTAGATATCCCGAATTCCCGATTCCGACACTCAACCCGAAGTCCAAACTTGAAGCCAAATATATACATAAAAAACTAAAACGATCTCTAGATAACATCGCCTGTAACTTCTACCAACTCCTTGCAAGGCGAAAACAGGGAAATTCGGTTATACAAGAAGGTGGGCTGCTGGATTGTGCTTAATTTGCAGCAGCAAAACAAAGTCAAATTCTTCCAGTTTGACGAATTTGTAACTGTAAGTATCAACATGGGTTTCTCGAATTCGTTTTGAATCTCTGTTTTATTGATCGTCCTTCCATCTGGGTTGCGGTGGTTATTCGAACTTGTGAACTTTATTTAGTGTTTTTAGGGTTTTAGCGCACTCAGACAGTTCTTGTGATTGTCTTAAATGATATCTTGTTTGATCATTGTATGGACGTCTCGATCTTTCTCGCATTTCTTTCGGTTTATGTATATCTTGGATCATTTCTCGGCTGGGTCTCATTAATTCTTGGAGCGATGTAAGGAACTTCGATCAGTTTGCTGAATTTGTAATTTCCAATATGGTCTTCTTGAAGTCTTTTTGAAATTTCAGTTAATTGTATCATTTCTCATCTCGGTTTCTTAAGTCATTGCAGCCATTTTTAGGGTTTTGATTCACATTTTTCTCATCATTCCCGCATTTTCTTCCAATTTCAGTATATTTTCCATCAAATCTTATCAGGGTTTCTTTAATTATTGGATCAACAAAAGGAAGTCAAACCGTTCAAGTTTGACCAATCTGTATATGCAAGTTTGACATGTGTCCTTAAACTCTTAAAATTTGTTCAGTTTATATCATCATCTCTCTGTTCCCATCTGCGGTTCTTTAATTCTTTAAACTCAATATAAGTGTGTTCATGATCATGTAAATATCTTCAAAATTCTTGTTATCTACAGATTCTTGATACCGAGGCTGGTACAAGAAGTTGAAAGTTCAAACTTTTTCTGATTTTAGGATAATCTCAGTTGGTGTTTTGAGATTATTTAATGGATCTGGAAAGATAGCAAATTTTGGGTGTTTATCTTTTTCTCATATGAGGTTCTTTAATTCTTTAAACTTATTGAATCTTATTCTTGTTTTTGGGGGTTTTATGCTTGCCTTCAATGGTGGGTTATAGTACTTATATGATTATTTTGCATCAATCCACATCTGGGTTTTTGTATAGTTGTTGCTTTTAGGGGTTTGTGCACTTAGAACTAAATGGTGTTTCGATATTCACTCTGAAAGTGATAATGTGATATCAGCCAATCAGAATTAGATAATCAGCTGCTTCTACTGGTTAAAGTAGTAAAGTGGTGTTTCAATATTCACTTCCGTCTACTTACTCTCAGAATTTGTGTTGCCTGCAGATTTCTTGATACAAGAAGCTAAAAGTTCAAACTTTTTCGGTTTTCAGACCAATCCCAATTGGCATTTCAAGATTATTTAATCAATTTTGGAAAGATAGCAAATTTTGGGTGTTTGATTTTGCGGTTTAATGGTGCAAAACGGTTGATGCTTTTTTGATGAACAGAAATATAGAGTGAAGAATCTTATACATTTTTTGAGATGATAAGTAGATTTGGAAGAATCGTATATTCTGTTGCCACCCCATTTCATCCATTTGGTGGGGCTGTTGACATAATAGTTGTTCAACAACAAGATGGATCTTTCAGAACCACCCCTTGGTATGTTAGGTTTGGAAAATTTCAAGGTGTTCTTAAAGGGGCAGAAAAGATTGTTAAAATAGAAGTTAATGGGGTAGAAGCCGATTTTCATATGTATCTTGATAATTCAGGCGAAGCTTATTTTATCAAAGAAGTTAACCCTGAAAAAGATACAAGTGTTAACAATTCCAACGGTTCATTAGAGTCTAAAGAAGATGTTTTTGAAGACAACGATAATCAAGACAATAAAATCGATGTACAATTTCATGATCATGCAGATATTACAGAATCTGATAGTGAAAAAAGATTTTATGAGTTGCAAGATGATGAATCATCACCTCTAGATGAGTTGTATGATAATTCAGAGTCAGAGAGTCAGAGTTCTGAAGTGGTTTTGTTGTGTAGAGATGGTCAAATTTTGTCTGCTCCTATAACATCAATGGAGGAAAACACAGAGAATGTGCAACTAAGTACACCTCAATTTCATTTGGGACCAGTTGAAGGACCTGAATTTGATGGTGATTTGGATTTGAGTAATGACTCTACGTGGGCCCATTATTTAAGTGATTTCAACAGACCTATAGATAGCAATATCTCCAAGGTCAATGATGCTCAATATGTAGTGAATTTAGAGCGTGAAGTATCGATAAAAAGTGTTGTTGTTGAAGATCATGTGCCAAGTGATGGAAAGAAAGATGACATCTTTAAGAGCTGTATAGCACTAGATGATTTGGTAAAGCAAGAAGATGGTGGTGATTCTAAAGTGGTTGTTGAAGAAAATTCGACAAACCTTGAATCTTCAACTTTAGAGGTAGAAACTGAGGGTACAGAGGTAAATTCACTCGATACAGAAGAGAAACTTTCTGATGTTGCAGTTGTTAGTGATCAAGATCAGCAGGGATCCATTGGTGTGATTAGGGAACCTGAAGGGGTTGAAAGATCTGAAATCGAATCTCCAGGGGTGAATTCAAATTCACTGCAAAAGGAACAGAAACTTTCTGATGTTGCAATTGTTGGTGATAAAGATCAGCAGGGACCATTTGGTGTAATTAGTGAACCTGAAGGGGTTGAAAGAACTGAAACCAATTCTACAGGGGTGAATTTGTTGGACATGGAAGAGAATCTTTCTGATGTTGCAATTGTTAGTGATAAAAATCAGGAAGAATCTGAAATGATTGAAGATAAAAGAGATGAAACCGAGGAGCCTCAACCATATTATGATGATAATGAAAATTTTGAAGGCCCGAAACAAACGAGTAAGTGATTTGTTTATTATATGATCCTACTTTTATTTTCTTCAATACAAACTTTTTCTACCATGGAATTTTGTTCTTTAATACATATCACCTTTAATCGATATTTTCAGGAATAGAATTATCTCTATGTGGGAATTTGCTTCGTCCAGGAATGGGATTGAGTACAGCTGCAGCAACCTTCAATGCCCATCGAATACCCTCAGAGGAATTTCAAAATTCTGCCACATCAATTATTAAAAACGACAGTTTAATAGTAAAAATCGATGACAAATACTTCACATGGGAAAAAGCTGCTCACATTGTTCTTGGAATGGCTGCATACGGATTAGAAATGCCTGTTGACCCCAATGATTCCATTCCGGTGGAGGATTCCGGTCTACCTTCGACTCCATCCCGTAGATGGCGGCTTTGGCCCATTCCATTCCGGAGGGTGAAAACACTCGACCATAATGCTAGTAATCTTTCCGGTGAAGATGTGTTTCTTGATTCCGAATCCGTGTTTGATTCCCCTACTAGTCAACCAGTGGAAATGACTCCAACATCTTCAAAGTCTCCTCAGAAACAGTTTGCTAGAACACAGGTTCCCACTACTGAGCAAATATCATCTTTGAATTTAAAAGATGGCCAAAATATGGTGTCCTTTATTTTTTCAACTAGGGTTTTAGGAGTTCAAAAAGTTGATGCTCATATTTACTTATGGAAGTGGAATGCAAGGATTGTGATATCGGATGTTGATGGGACAATTACAAAGTAAGATTGTTTGTATCTCTATTGGTTATATTTTTTAACCGAAAATTTTATAATTTTTTTTTGTATGTTTGTGTTGTAGGTCTGATGTTCTTGGTCAATTTATGCCATTAGTTGGGAAGGATTGGACTCAATCTGGGGTAGCTCGATTGTTTTCTGCTATAAAGGTATTGTAATTTGTTTGATGTATCAATATAAGATATAGTAAATTACATTTTCGGTCCCGGCGTATAGCTGATTTTTGCAAATTTGGTCCCCAAAAGTTCTCTTGCAATTCTTGCTCTTATTTGAAATTCTTGTAATGATTTTTGCCCTAGTTCCAAGTAAAATGACTATTTTTGGTCCGTTGTTTGCAATACCGGTCCAAAAGTGTATTATTTTACTCGGAATAGGGACCAACAACGTTACATAAACTTCATTCAAGGACTGAAATTGCACGAGAATTTTTTGGGACAAAATTGAAAAAATCAGCTATGCTAAGGGACCAAAAATGTAATTTTAATGTATAAAATATATAAAGATGGGAAATTGAAATATTTAGTTTTTTCTTGTATTTGTAACATGCAGGAGAATGGATATCAATTGTTGTTTCTAAGTGCTCGTGCAATTGTTCAAGCGTATTTGACCAGAAGTTTTCTCCTTAATCTAAAGCAGGTACTAAATCTAAATCTACTTTTTGCAACTACAATCACTTAGGTGGGACAAATGAAAAAAGTAGAATGTTTATTACTTTAACCTTTTATGATGTGTCAAATACATGTCAGCAAAAATTAAATTACTTAAATTACCAGTTAAAAAGTTAAGTGACGTGGATGAGACAAATGAAAAAGTGGATTGGTATTTTCTTTTTTGAGTTGCAATTATTTGGCATGTTTTATTTTTGTAGGATGGTAAAGCCTTACCCAATGGTCCGGTTGTTATTTCACCCGATGGTTTGTTTCCATCCTTGTTTCGTGAAGGTGAGACACATTTTTTTTAATTTTTTTTTTCTTTGTGCAAAATTTTCTTCATGGATTATAAACAAAATCATAAAGCATAATTATCCATTTAGTTATATCTAATTGTAATGCCTTTTTGTATCCTCTTTGTGACAGTTATTAGAAGAGCTCCTCATGAATTCAAGATCGCCTGCTTAGAAGTAAGTATAACGGATCAAAAAATAAGATATTTTTTAATTAATTATGCATAAAAAACAAACGGATTAAATATAAAATACTTTTTACAGGATATCAAAGCTCTGTTTCCATCCGACTACAACCCATTCTATGCAGGGTTCGGTAACAGAGATACTGATGAACTCAGTTACAGGAAAATAGGAATTCCAAAGGGAAAAATCTTCATAATCAACCCCAAGGTATTTATTTATTTGTTTTCCTCAAATTAATTGTCCTTCAAAATACCACTATTTATGTGTTTCTTTTATATAATTTTTAATTAAAATTTTAGGGTGAGGTGGCGATTAGTCATCGTATGGACATGAAGGGGAAGTCTTACACATCTTTGCACACATTAGTCAACGACATGTTCCCCCCAACATCCATGATTGAACAGGAAGATTTTAATTCATGGAATTACTGGAGAGTACCATTGCCAGATGTCGAGTAGCCATGCCATGATACCCTTTTGTTTGCTATTCTAGTTTTTTTTTTTTTTGGTCAATCACTACTCTGTTAATGGTGTAGTTATGCCACATAGGGTCAAGCGTTGATTCATGAAACCTATTGGTCAGTTTTTGTTTGTAAATCGACTCTAGTTGATGTAACTCTAGAAGAAATTGTTAAAATCATATCGCTTAATTCGCTTATAAATTTCTTAAATCTTTTTGAAATTGGCAATTTCAAATAAACTAGGGAAGGCATTACTTATACTTATATATTTGAGATTTCATTATTCCATTCGTCTCCAAATCCATACTAAAACTCTTGAAGCAAATTCAATGAACCTCACCCTGAAGTTTCAAACAAAAATCAGAACAAAGGAGAAAAAAACACGGAATAAGTGTCATCTTATTTCAAAAGAAAATCAGAGGAAAACATAAAGTATATACTTTAGGGTTAATTATAAAGATTTTAACCATTCGAATCCCTGTTTTCCTGTAACTAACCTCATCAGTATCCTGATACCCAAGCATGCATAGAATGAGTTGTATTCAGATGGAAATATAGCTTTCATATCCTGTAAAAAATATTTAAACCGTTTTTCCTTCTGATATATAGCATTCATATCATAATATATTAACCTAATTAATTAATTAAATTAGGTATTATTTAAAGAACTAAATGACAAGCCATAAGCCTCCTGCTGTCCTTGCATATGAACTTCATGATGTTGGATAGTAATATCAAAGTTGTAAAGCCTCATGAATCCCTTGTGTGTTGCGTCCTCAAGATTCACAACACCAAGTTCCTGTTGTTTTTCTGTACGTTTTGATGCACGCTAATTTATTATATGCGTGTGTATGTCGAATACAATAATAAGCAATTAGCAATTAAGAAGAATGATACCTATTCACTGGGTATGCACCCACGTTACAAGCTCTTAATCCTTCATGCATCCCTCCTTAATTACAATCTCATACATGCAACTCATCGACGTTCAGGTTCACTCTTTTATGGCTTGTATCTTACGTATATATATCTACATGGAGGGTTGTATATATAGGGGAAGGATACGGATTGCATACGTATCGGGGTGAGGATCAGAAGAAATCCCGTAAATCCGTAATTCTTGTATGCAAATCTAATTCAAATACCAACTTTACATTTTTGGTCCCTATGAAAAGTTCTATTGATATAATCTATCCTTTTCTTAAAGTGTTTGTCTATTTAGTACATTCAACCCCTCAATATTTCGTATATACCCTTATTAAACATCAAAATATCATATTTACCCAACTTAATTTCTAAATATCATATTTATCCTTCATAAAATTTAAAAATATTGTATATGTCGTCAAACATCAAAATATCATATAGGCTCTTCTTAAATATTAGAATATCATGTATACGATTCTTAAACATCAAAATATCAATAATAATATCTAAACTATCATTCATCTACAACATGATAATATTCAACAACAACAAAAGCTAAACAATCAATGCATACATTCCATGTAGATAGTTGAAGATGAAGATGTTTTGTTTGTCAAGAGAGCGACATTCCAACAATTTAAAAATAGATGTTCCATTATTATAGACGTATGGATAATATGATTAAAATTTTTAATTATTATAATAATTCTAAAATATAAAAAATGATTATAAACTATTAAAAACATTGCAAAAAAAGATTTGGGAAAATGTGATATTTTGAAGGTTATAAAGGGTAAATATAATATTAAGAAATTAAGTTGGACAAATATGATATTTTTATGCTTAAGAAGGCCTAATTGCTACTTATAACTAGGGGTGAACATTTGGACCTGTGGATCAGACCGGACCAGACCGTTTTTTAGACCTCCGGGCCGGTTATCGGTTATAGGATTTGAGCAAAACTGGTTCGGTCCGGCCGGTTCCAGATAAAAACTTTGGACTGGCTCGTTTTAAAAAAAAATGTATTCTGTGAAATTATTTAAACAAACATATCTCATTCGTTTTAATTCGTATTGACATGCGATTTTTTCCAACGTGTAAATAAGAGTTTGTAGATATTTTCGACTATAATTTTGTTGTTTTTGGTGTTATATTCGATAAGTTACAATCCTTCAAAGATGAGATATCAAAGCTGAAATATTTCTGATTTTCAACAAGAAATTTAAACTTTTGTATTCTGTGAAATTCTGTAAACAAATATATCTCATTCGTTTTAAGTTAGATTGACATTTGGTTTTTTCCAACGTCTAATTTAGAGTTTGTAGATAATTTTAGACTATAGTTTTGTTGTTTTGGTGTTATATTCGATGAGTTACAATCCTTCAAAGATGAGATATCAAAGCTCAAATATTTCAGTTTTTTCAACAAGAAATTTAAACTTTTGTAATCTATGAAATTCTTTAAACAAGCATATTTTATTTGTTTTAAGTCGAATAGACATAAAGTTTTTTCCAACATGCAATTTAGAGTTTCTAGATAAGTTTAGACTATAATTTTGTTGTTTTTGGTGTTATATTCAATGAATTACAATCCTTCTAACAAATGGTATAAAGTATAAACAATCAAAGTTTGATCAGTCCAAAGTGCACAAGAAACGAAAACATATTCACTTTTACGAGTTGTACTGTATCAAAACCAAAAAAGTATTAATTTTAACAAGTTGTAATGTATCAAACTCGACAACATATTCGTTTTAACGAGTTGTATCAAACCTAAAAACGCATTTTAAGAAGTTATACCATATGCATGTAAAGTTGTACCGGTCCAAACAGGTCCAAGAACCGGACAACCCGGACCTGGACCCGGTAAGTCTCATCCGGTCCGGTCCACGGTCCACAGTATTCTCCGAAACCGGTTCGGTCCAAGAGCCGGTCCGGTCCGGTCCAAATGCTCACCCCTACTTATAACATTTAACACCCTTAATTAATTTGATTTCAAATACACCCTTTGTAACGACGTAAATTTTAAAACAAATTTTCATTTTTCCACATAATAAAACTCATATAATATTCTCAAAATCTCATGTATCAAATGTCATCATAATAAAACATATCCCAGAATCTCAAAACATAATCCTCTGCCAGTGTGTACAAATCATGTCGGCGCCTTCCCGCGATCCTCGCTGGTACCTGAAACACATATCACATAACACGGTAAGCATAAATGCTTAGTGAGTTCCCCAAAATACCACATACAACACATAAGCCACTCGAGGCTATGACTTGGTATGACCCTCCGGTCAATGTATCTCAGCGGGACCCTCCAGTCCCGTAGCTCGTTGGATCCTCCAGTCCGGTCTAGCTCGTTGGACCCTCTGGTCCAGTCTAAATCGTAGGACCCTCTGGTCCGGTCTATATAACACATAGCATACATATATCACAATGCACATAAACTCAATATACACATAACACATAAGACCCTCCGGTCTGCACATAGTTACCACTCTAGGTAATGTATAGTGAGAAGACTTACCTCGGGTAGTCTCGGAAAGTCTCGAACTCGAATATCTGATCTAGCCTCCGCCTAATCACATAAAGTAATTATCTCTAATTAATACGACTCTCAAAGGCTAGGCTAGTCCCTCCCTATATTCTCTCAGAAGGGGAAAATACCATTTTACCCCTCCAATGGTCCAATGTCCAAATGTTGACCAAACCCTAAAAGTCAACCCCAGTCAACGGTCTAACTTTGACCAGACTCGTCGAGTGCACTCGGGTGGCTCGGCGAGTCCATGCGTGTCCTCTGAATCCTCCTAAGGCCTCACTCGACTCGTCGAGTTAACCTTTCTCTCGACGGGTTACCACTGATCATGAATCGTGGTGCAACACGATCCGACTCGTCGAGTTTCTTCCATGAGAATGCTCAAACGACCTTGTGAGGTCAGATCTGTTTCTCTAACCTATAGATATGGCCTTCTAACACTCAAAAGTTACGTAAAGGTCCAAACTTTATGCTCATGCAACACTCATATGGCTCTATATGAAGAATTAGCCCTAATATGACAACCATGATCTAAAACCCAAAAATGGAATGCATAAAGCTGGATGTGTGGGGCTCTCTGGACCTCTCAAGGTCCAGATCTAAGGTCTATTTCACATTGGGACTTCTCATGCTCTTATTCCAACTCAAGAAAGGGTAAAGAAACCCTTGATTCAAGAAGCCTACACAACAAAGAAGAAAAGGGCTGAATTGCTACCTCAAAGTGAAGCCTCCTTGCTTGAAAGTCTCAGAACAACAACCTCCTTTGGTCCTTCTTTCTGGATCATTTCCCCTCCTTAGCAAAATCACCACAAATGGTTCAATATGGCTCTCTCTCTCTCTCTCTCTCTCTCTCTCACTACACACGCTCAAATATGCTAGGGTTCTTTTCTCTGAAAGGGTGGCCGCAAATGAAGGTCATAAGGATCCTTAAATAGGGCACAGACCCAAAGATTTAGGGTTTCTGTCCATAGCGCGGACTCGTCGAGTCGACTCACCGACTCGTCGAGTCCATTCATTAATCCTAGTCAGCAGTCGCGATCCTAATCGACGAGTCTAGGCATCAACTCGTCGAGTCCCTCTCCTTGACTCAAAAATAATTACTCAATTTATGATACCTGGAAATCCGGATGTTACACCCTTTTTATATAAATTTAAATATTAATTAGACCCATAAAATATTATAATTACTATATTTAATTATTTGATAATAATTAATCGTTATCTTCTACTTCTCTACGTAGACGGTTTGTCGTCGGCATAGGGTTAAAAGCTATCGTCGCTATAAAGGTCGATTCTTGTAGTGTACAACGCATTATTGAATTATTAAGTCGTGAATTTTCGACGGTTATCTAAATTATTTTCTCGATATATCTGTTAGGGGTGGAATTGGTACGGTACCAATTCATTTTTCTCTAAACCGTGTACCGTACCAACTATAGATGGTATTTAAAAATTGTTACCGGTACCGTACCAAGTATAATTGGTACCAATTTATTTGGCTACCAACAAGTTTGGTTGGTACAAATTGGTAATTGTATATACCGAATTCTTTTAATTTTCTATTGGAA